GCACCTGTTCACTCAGGAGTGCAATGATGATAGCTGCATGTTATTTTTTAATGTATTTGTAATAATATACTTCTTCAAATGAATATAATAAAATATGTTTTCAACTACTGAGTTTACAGAGCATGTTCTGCTTTAGTGACACTTTTACTTCTGTCTTAAAATTCATGCATAAGTCACATGTGTCTCTTTGTTTGTTTTTGTTTTTCCAGAGACGAAATGACACAGTAGTTGATTGTTATCTGTTGTTTAAAATTTCACAAGAACGGAACTGTAACTGAAAAAATAAAGAAGTTCAGAACAGGAACATAAATATCTTCTTATTCGCAAGACCCAACGAGGGCTGCAAATGAAGGCCCATTTATTATTGCAACTATACTGTTGACAGTTTCTTTGGTGTTTGTTTACTTAGTTTAAAGGTATAAAACAAAAGACGGAGAAACTATTAGAAGTGTAACTGCAGGAGGAAGTAGTTGTAGCCTAATTTTACAAAAATAAATTTAGTTCCAGGAATGAAACTCTTAACTGCATTTTAACTGCAGCAATAAATTCAAAGGTCATTGTGCATAAAATACGTTGCCGTGCCAACCTAATGTCATCACAGCAATAAAATCAAATAACAGTGCAGTAAAAGTACCTGTTAATGAACACATGACGTCTGTTACATTTTAAACATCGACACATATGCTTTTACTGAAATTTGAAAATAGAATTATACCACAAACTGACAGATTACTGAGTCTTTTACTGTTTGCCCTTTGTTTCTTCTGAAAAGTGCGACCTATTTGAACACAATATTTAATAACTTCTCTTAGTGTCTGACAGCTGGGAAGACTTCTCTACTAGTAACAGAGAACTAAAATAATAAAACACTCAAAATAATAATGACAATAATAAAACATAGAAATAAATGCTAAGGTTAATATTTTAATTAGATGTGTTTGCTAGTTTGTAGCTTATCGTTTATGTAATTACATATACATATATGTACATATACTTACATATTACATATACTTACATATACTTACATATCTATATTATTGCTAATCTATATTGTAATATATCTATATCACTAAAGCACTTCTGGATGGATGCAAACTGCATTTCGTTGCCCTGTACCTGTGCATGTGCAATGACAATAAAGTTGAATTCTAATTCTAATTCTA